ACCTTTGACCTCAAATCATGGCCCCGGGCGTGACCTGAGAGAGTCAGCAATTGGCTCCAAGGCCCTTTCTTGAGGTCCCTTACAATAATTATAAAGCAGAATTTCGATCCAGTGGGGTCGATTTTCATCCTCCCATAGTACCTTAATCTAAATCTAAACTTGTTCTAATCTAAAAGCAGTCTTGAAGTAAAAAGCCTCTTCTTCGCCCAGACTCTTGCTAAAACTTCCTCTAAAAGGGGGAAGATTTCTAAACAGGTCCGACCCGGTCTAAATGTTGGAACGACGGAAGAGAACTCTCATCGTTCATTACCATACGGGAGTCCAAGATCATTGCACACAAATGTAATAAATATTAATATATTCTGAGCAGCGATGCAAACCATTTCATCCGCATTATCCAATTGCCTTCCATGCCAACAATTTTTGACCAAAGAAGTGAAAATCACTTGAGGCCTGGAAGACGATTTGTTAATGCGGGTGAAATTACTGCTGCTGTAAAGGAGTGGTTGAAGATGTGGAATTTTACAAGAGGATTTGAAAGTTGAGTTGAGAGGTGGTGCCAATGTGTAGCTGTCAAACGGAGATTAAATAGAAAACTAGAAAATTGTTCCTCTATGTCACCTCTATCAATGTGTCCGATTTTATTTTTGTAAGATTTGAAATAAACATGTTGTACCCAAACAGACATTACTTTTCAAACACCTATCGTTGTTTTTATACAGGGTGCCCATAAAAGAATGAATAAATTTTAAATTTTAATTATAAGTTTTAAACGGCTTCTCGTAAAACAATGAGACAAAGACTGAAGGATAAAGAAACTCTACTTTTTTTCTGAGCGCTAAAAAGTAAACTTTGACCACCTTCGTGCCATCTCTTGACAAATTTGTAAACTTCTCTTAAAGCGTGTGCTCGGGGTAAACAATGGAGAACGCGCACCAGAAGGCTCAATCTGTGCTGTGGCCTGCAAAATTTGACTCTGCCACGCAAATGTTTTCGCGTCCATGTCAACGCAAGGTGGTACAAACAAGTTGAAGAATCTGCATCTGATACGCTCGGACAGACTGGAATTTCCTTTGTGGATTGGATGTTGGCAGTTTCCTCAAATTGGGGTGGCATTGCGTGAAAGTAGTGTTTCCTTGCAAACTCGCGCTGCATTTGCGTGGTAGTCAACATTTGCAAGCCACAGTTCACTCTGAGCCTTCTGCTGCATGGTTGCCGTTGCTTACCCCGAGCACACGCTTCTTGAGAAACTTACTCATTTGTCCACAGATGGTACGGAGGTGCTAAAGGTTTACTTTTTAGGGCTCAGAAAAAAAAGCTTCCAGTTTCTTTATCTTTCAGTTTTTGTTTAATTTTTTCACAAGAAGCCGTTTAAAAGTTACTAATATTTTCTAACTGCTTCATTTTCTTATGAACACCCTGAACATGTCAAAGTTGCGCCTCCTCAGCTACATCTGAACGACAGGAGTCTTGGACGCACGTTTCAACAGGTTCAAGCATGTGTATCCATAGCTTGGTTACGTAAGTGCGGCTTTTTGTCGCGTCTGCAGGGATTGAGGATTCCCGCGGGTAGTTTTTCAATGTGTTAGGATACAGTAATCTTTGATGGAGGTGTGTGAACCGGGACATCTCAATTCCTTTTCCTAGACTTTAATTTCATTGTCCTAATTCTCCCCCCTCCTTTAACTTCGCTGTTCACGGCTAATCCTCATTAAAATATCTTGAACGTCTTCGTCTGATGGTGGTCAGGCACTCACTAGAATTTTACTTCCAGATCGCCATACCTCCAGGACGTCGGGTTAGTAGATGACCTCACCCTAGTTGAGCAGCGCTGATGAAGTTCACATTGAGATTTTAGCCGTGGTTCAGTTTCCCTCTACAGGAGAATGACACAGCGCTGTTTTACAAAAACACCATTTCTTTTATTCCAAAAAAGAAGTGTATATTTGGGGGAAGGGGGGGGGGGGATTTGAAAGAAGGATGGGAAGCCACATCACTACAGAATTCCTCAATCAGACACAGTGAGACATATAAACAGACAAGCCACTGTATTCCAACCTAACCTTCCACATCCAATGCTGGGCTCTTAAGTGCTCATTCATTTTCCAGCTCAGTGCAAAGAGAAGGTGAGATACTTCCTGGCCTCCAACAGACTTCCAATAGATCGACTAGGAGAACATAAAACGTGGTGTCCCTTCTCATTAATTATTTCCTTCATAAGGTAACAGTGCATCTGTGATCGTGATGGACAAAGTAATAACAGAAAGACTATAAAGTAACAAGTCCCTCGAAGTACTCACTGAATGAGCTTTGGAAGAAATCCCTCCTTTTGAAGAGTGAGCAGAGCTCATGGGAACAACACACTCTTGTCACTTCCCAACAAAATACTCAATATAATCAGAAAAATGAATTTCAATGCTGCTTTCCATAGAAAAAGTAATGAAATGAGAATTGTTCCATAAGAAAGTATGAGAGAGCCAATATGAGTGGAAAAAACGCTGCCCACTCAACTCATTACTGATACATAAGTAACTGCATGCACTAGACTTGCACTGTATCATCTAAATTCCCTGAGAAAAGTGAGGACAACCACATCCAAATTGAGCACTTGGTGAGTCTTGCCATCATGGGTCAAAGTAAACATGATAAAGATATGATGACCCTGGCTTTTTGTCACAAACTCAACAAGGGCTCAATTGGCAACAAAATTATATCCTCAAATGATGGAAATTTGTTGGAGGCCAATTTCCAGGGAAAATCCTCCTGCCCTTTGAAAAAAAATCATTACATGAAAATGAAACATGCTACTACAACTGAAAGAATCATTTTGACACATATGAATTGCTTCTCATCCTGATGAATGAATTTATGAAAAAGTGTGAATAAGAAATAGTGCAACCATAGAACCTTACTCCCCTGCATGCCTTTCCTCCAATCAGAGCACAAGGCCTTGAATATTAATTCAAATAACGAAGGCAATGGGAGTTCCCTGCATGAGAGCTGTCCATTGGGAATTATCTTTGCCTTAACCATAAGTTATTTCCCAACCATTTTATACCATGAAAATGTACAACCTTTTTTAAACTGATCCAAGCTCATGTGATAGCACATAAAAATTCATTTGCCCAAAATTGTTTAAACTCAAAATCTCAGCTTACTTCATCCAAATTCAGTCTGGAAACACTTCAGTGCCAGGAGTACAAGAGTGACTGAACATTTTTTAGGATAAGGTTTGTGGCTCCATTTCATCATTGGAGGGGCAGATTTCTACTTCCACTCATTGCATAGGCTAACCTTGTCAGCTGTATATGCAACGTATACACAGAGCCACGTATGATACAGTTCAATACCTCAGATTGCTTTCAAACTTGAAAACATTTTTTTAAGACCTATTATAAAAGTCCATGTGAGTTCTCATTATGGTGCCATAACATACTACATGCAGGGCTGCCATGGCTGCAATTAATTTTCAGTGATTTAAATTATGGAAATTAACAGTACCACTGTTTACACTCAATTTTGTCCTATAATAAATTTAACTGCAGAAGTTTTTATCAGTCTGGCAGCAGATAGCCTGCAGCCAACCATGGATTAATCACCCAATGGACAGCTCTACCCTGCCTCCAAAGGCTGTTGCAGCAGGCCTTCAGTTACAGTAAGTGGTGTGCATAGTCTTCTCTGCTGTTAAAGAGACATTTGCAAAGAATATTACACTTATAGCAAGTACCAGGATAACGCCAAAACAATGCCAATATCAGAGATTATTGGAAATACCACAGTCAGAGGTGTACAGGATGCTGTACAGCACATGAGACATATAAAACCAAATGAAAAAAGGGCATTGTTCAGCATCCTGCATATGTCGAAAATGAGGCCCTGGTTAAGGTAAAAGGAATTGTGAGGTGCATTTTGCATGGCCTGGCAAGGCAATGGCAGCAAACATGGGCCTCCAAAAAGACCAAGCAATTTTTTTTTCTCTCCTTTCCCTTTTTTTGTGATTTTTCCTTTTTATGGATTGATATATCTCTCTCTTTCTCTTTCTGCACCATCAGAAACTGTTGGAGTGCTTCACTGAATGGAGCAAGATGGCTTTTGCCCATTCTTGAGCTTAAGGCGAGAGCGGGGACGGTATTTTTCCAAATACTCCAGCTGCTTCTGATTGATTGCCCCTCGTCTCTTCCTGAAAACCAACATGGAAATGCATGAATAACACATTCTTAATCAATCACAGCTCAGTCCTTTTAAATTACCAAAATATGAAAAGAATATCAAAAGACAGTGCAAATTTTATGACTTCGCAAATTGACGATGACCAATAAAGATGCTGACTGATAATATATGGGGCAAAAATCCCTGCAAATAATCAGGTGACTATTTGGAAAGGCAAACAGGTCAATAACAGATGAAGTACAGCAATACCCCACTTAGCATTCAGGATGTGTTCCTGGAGAAGAGAGCACCAACTGAATCAGTGCTAAAAGTCATTATACCATTGTATATATGGAGATGCGAATTGAGCTGTGAATATTCTGACTCATAACTTTTTACTTGGATTTTGTTTATTTTTTTGGTTTTCAGCAAAAATTTTTCTCTCCAGAATCAAGAGCACTATAATGAAACAGTGCTATACAGGGTAGTGCTAAGCAGGGTATTTACTGTATAGTTTTGATTGCAGGTAAAGTGAGACCTGGTAGCTGACATGCACAGTCAAGATCAGAACTATCCACTCAAAGGATAAAGAATGCACCCTCAACTCAGTCTAATACTGGTATGCATCATTGCCATGTTGGGCGCTGATTGAAAACTACTATTAAAAAAAAAACTAAGAAGAGAATGTCAACAAAAAACCAGTTCCCTGCAAGTTGAGAAAATATTTTTAAATAAGGGTAGTACACAGGTAGAATATCAGCTCAAAATGAGTCAACAATATCATCAGCTGTCAAAACAGAATCAAGGCCAATAGATGAAATAGAAAATATATTCTGATGACCGGTCAAACTTACTGTCGGATGAGTTCAACAGCATCCTCATACTTCATGCCTAACTCCATGAGAGCAAGTGCTACAAGAACTGGAGCTCTCCCAAGCCCTGCCACACAATGGACAGCAACACAAGACCCTGGCTCCTCTCGGAACCGACGGTTCAGGAGCTGGAACCATTCTTCCACTACCTGGTGACAGACAGCAAATATCACATCAGTTTTTTTTATATTAGTGAAAGCTACACCTTCAGAATGATACCAAAAGCACAGGATAAGGAAACATTAAGTTATGCCAGTGAAAATTCCAGCTGAATTCTGAGGCAGAGCAAAAAAAGTTAATGAACATGAACAGAAATGAATGGAGCCTGTGAAAATTTTTTAAAAATAATGGTTGAAATGGATTCCAACACCTAATATCTTACTCAAACACGTATGTATCATATGTTTGTCTTTAACCATTTAGGGAATTTCCCTCTCACTGAAAGTAATAATGAGTAGATATGAAAAGATTTATGGGTTCATTTGCAGGTTCCTCCTGAAACTCATGTGATTTCTTAATATTTTACTCTTAATAACTCAGAATTGTATGTTCTCAATTGGCAAGAGCTGAATAGATATTGCAGGATACGTCCATCCCAAGAAAGAGAATCACCAAGGAAAACACATATTTGTAAATTCCTTTGCCCCAGAAAAAGTCCATCAGTATGTTCTTTCTGATCACCATATCATCTGATCATTTTTCTGATCGTCACCATGATATCCATGCTCCTCTTCAAGTATTTCATCCTCTCCAGAATTATTAATGAACATATAAATACAATCCTAAATGCTCTAATCCTCTCTCTGCTTGCCTAAATATTTAATATTTATAACATCTCTTTTATTACAGTTGATGCTCGATATAATGAACCTCTACATAATAGTTTTTCTTTGCCACAAATTTTTTTCCAGTTCCTGGCTGTCTGCACATTCACAGGCATGTTGAAAAGTTTCTCTATAATGAAGTACTGTATAACAAATTGTTCAGTTTTATGAAGTAATTTATTTGTCTGAAGGAACAAAACTGTCCCATATTACAAAGTTATTAGGCTATTTAAACGCAACATAGAGAATATTTTGCCGCCAGTAGGTGGAGTTCAGCAAGCGCTATAAGGCACACCCTGAAATCCACAAACAGGTGGCATAAACTTCCCTGTGTTGCGTTTAAATATGAACACCCTGTACTTCTTGCCTTGCATCATGTGAAAAAAGACACAGATCAGTTGGTTAGACCTTCCATACAGGTAAGGATATTTCGTGAGAAATACCTTAATCAGCTGCCATTGATATGCAAGCATGACCAACATCTCTATTTGCAGTGAAAAGAAAATGAAAGGATTCCTGGTCCAGGGAGGAGTAGGACTCCTCCCCATTACAGATGTGCTTTCAGCTGCTCTGTAGCATGGGTGTATGACAAGGTGTGTTTAAGGAATGACTGGAGCCTTGCAGTTTAGGGTGGGCCATTCCATTGACCAATGTTCACTTGTGAACTTTTTCCATCTGGTTTGGCTTTAAGCCACTAAACCCAGCAGATTCACAAGGCTCAATCTGGTGAGTTGCCATTGTGAAGAGACTCTGATCATTTGGGTGATTACCTGCAGTGCTTTATGAAGAAAAGGTATATCCTCCACTCAGCATCTGCTCAGTAACAGCTGTTCCTTGATGCCTTCATGGCCAATTCAAAGGGGAGAAATTTGGGCTTGGGCCTTGAAACAATAGTGGTGAGCTATCATTGAGTTTGCATGAAACTGCAGACAGCAAGACGCATGGCATCTTTGAGAATTCTAAAAGGAAGAAAGCTGGGATGGCTAGCTTTGATACTGTCTTACACACCCTCAAGGAAGAAATCCAGCAAATTCACTTCTAGTCAACTCATGTGTTTCTTTGGATTGGGATGTCCTTGAGAAAGTATCTGGCATACACAATTTCCTTACCAAGCTGTGGGATGACTTGTTAGTATTTAAAAGTTAAGTAGGTCAGTCTCCTCTTGTCTTGAGCGTAGACATCAAGAAACTCCATAACCCAAAAATTGAAGTATCAAAACTGCAGCCTCTGCCTAAGAAATCCTGTTACTACTTCTAGGAATCCATAAGAGGAAGAGAAACCTTATCATATAGGAACCTGAGATCTGAAGAACATGAAGGCTGGAAAAATTTCACCACAAAAAAAAAGTTAATACCTTAGAAGCAATTTAAAAATGCATATTTTGACCAATATGCAAAGTCATCAGTGATAAGCAAGCAAGACCCAGGACTGGTGACTATTCCAGTGGTAAAACCAGGGTTTTCCCTCCATTTGGTTTTTGCCTTCAAGCAAAAATTTGAAACTTACTTTTTCTTGCTGCATGAGATAGTATGAATTCCTAACCCTCCAGCAAATTCTTTGCACAATTTGCTGGATTTTTAAAGCATCACAACTCACACAGAAATGTACAAATGCCTATTATTGTGGAAAAAGAGTTCACTCTTAGAACAAATTCACTAAAACTAGGGGAAGTAACTGCAGAAACGGTAAGTGATGATTTACTACATGGAAAAATAAATTGGATTCCATCTGGGTTGCTTTTTTTGGGGGGGTGAACAGCACCAAGTAAAAGGCAAAGAGAGTGGCCTAGTTGGAAGTAGGTGTTCACAAGAGCTCTACTTTACCTTAGTAGGAGGAGAAGTTCCATCATCAAACTCCAGATCCAAGACGGAGATCCCTTCCTTCTGTAGCTCCTCTGTCTTGTATGTTGGCTCACAAACCCTCACCACATCCTTCACATTGTGCTTCCTTAGCTCCTGCAAAGCAGCCATAAAGATGATGCTAATATTCATGAGTACACCAGTGTTATTGGAGAAACCAACAAAACTTCACCTCAACATAAATCTTGATGGAAGAATCCGTGGGCCTGTCTGTGATAAGGAAGCGTGCTTTCTTGTACTCAATCTCAGAGGGACCAGGGCGCAATGCCTGTTGGCGACTATTGTGCCTTGAAGTAGGCACAATTGATGACCCAGATGTCTGTGTCTGTGATGTGGTCATTGTTGCAACCATCCGAGGTAACGCAGGATCACAAGGTTGTCTCTCTTTTACTTTCTTTGAAAGACACTCACTCTCTCACCTTGCACCGTTCCTGGTAACTCAAATTCACTAGAACGACACTTTCAACCCATGGGCATGAACAAGACTTGGAGACGTGGGGCTTGTGTCAGCGGCAAAACTTGATGAAACTGGAAGAAGCTTAAGGCTGTGAGATTCCTTGTGTCTCTCTCAAGCCCTCTACTTGTGCTGCGCTGCGCAGTAGACAAAGCTCACATCCCTCCTCATCTTCTGTGGGTACTCCAGTTTTGGGTATCCAGGTACCTGAAAAAAGCACATGACAGTTTATAATCCAATCTCTAACCTTCACAAGCTCAGAGATACTCAGGCTTTAGCCTATATCAATGGAACTTCATCCACCTCCATTAATGCTGCTAATTAGGCATTATTAGCCCTCAATGGCACTAATTATGCATTACCAACCTATCAGTTGCCCTCTTTTTTTAAATTGAAGTCATGCACAGCAAACAAGTTACTTAGACATATCCAAAGTACTCCTGCCTTGCACACTATTTGTTCAGGGAGAGAAAGTTGTGCTATTTCAAAGAACAAGGATGGAGTAAATGGGAAGAAAAAAAAAAGGATTAATCCCTTAAGTAGGGAGACCACCTTTAATGCATTCACAGTATTGTTCTCTGTAATGCGCTGACCACCTCTTGGCGTAAACCTAGAGCGACAGAGGTAGCCGTTAAAACTCCCCACTTGGGGTTAAAAGTGAATTCCAGGGCTGAAATCCAATAGCTCCCATGCTCGATCATAACAGTGAATTCAGTACTGAAAGTTACTTCTGCTGTTCATTCTAGAGCAATCGTGACACTAAGGGGGTGTCTTGAGTTCGCCCCAGAAGATAGCTCCTCTTGCAAATGGGAGAGCACGAGACACAAGAACCTCGGTTCCAAGATGCTATTCCTGTCGACGCACAAACGACCGAAGGATCCTAACTGAGCCCTCACAACAGAACGACAATCTTCCACAACGATCTGCACCTTGATATGAAAGAGGGCGGGAGTCGCGTAGTTTTATTTCGCAGGGTGAAACGAGTCACAGGACGCAGAGGATTGAGCGTAGGAGGATTGCAGGGTATTGCCAATTGATGTGTCACGTGGAGCATATTGGGGTGGGAGGAGAAACGCATTTCCAACGCAGGCGCATTCCTCGTCCCACAGATCTATCCTGCGACGTACTTCTCGAGTATCTTGGGAGGAATAAGACCTTGCAATGGCTTTCTTATCAGCTAATTCCCTCTCTTCTGGGAATTGGACGAGGCCTACGGCTACCCCCTGCCGGCCCTTCTTTCATGGCAACGATACATGACCATGGCTTCTCCCGACTGTGCAGGAAATTGCGTAAAACAGCATTCGAGGAGGAGATTCCCACTGCAGCTCTCGGCAAGCACCATAAACGCCGTTAGGAAGAGAAATGGACAGACAACCCACCTGAATCGGAGCTCTATTTGCTGCACCTCAAAAAATGTTCGTCCTCGCATCTGATTTCAATGACAAGGAACACATTTGGCATGCGAATGGTGAAGCTTTGGCATCCTTCATTGGCACACACCCCTCGAAATATCTTTCTCACTCGTCCTCACTCGCCGATGCGGCACCAATTCACGCTTATTGAAATGCACTTCCACTTTAAATGTCCTTACACTACTTCCTGCACTCACGAATACCGACTGTAGACAGAGTTGATACGCAGATTTTTTTACACGTCAAAAAATCTGCGCATGTTCAAGGCGAAAAATGAACATAGGTGGATGTCAGAGGCACGAAACGGATGAGACTAGGCAGGCCTAGCGTGACAGTGAGGCATTATTCAGTCGTCGATCCTCTGATTCCGTGACAAAGGAGGACGATACTGAAATATGGAAGATGACTGAATCCTCTTCTAGTCATCTTCCTCCCCGTCCGAGACAGAATATGAGGCTGTTCCATGGCCTCATATTCTGAGGCGCTGCGACGTACCACTGACCCATTTCAGGTCCCTGATGAAAGCTCGCTCCTTGCGCCCTTGGAGCATGTCCAAATGTGATCGAAAGAAGACAAACCATTTAACATTGTTGATGAGGTGAAGCAAATACGTCTCAAAGCGACAGCAGTGCGGATGATGGTGCCAGCACGTAATGTCAAGGATAAGGGCGTTCTGCACAGCTTTAGATACAACTAAATCACAAGCGACCTATACCGAAAGACAATTGAAGAAAATTGTTCCCCACGAGGGCAAAACGAGATAGGCAATCGATACCCATCATAAGCGGCATACTGTACTATCTTTCATACGCTTGGGAGGATACTACGTTGAAAGGATATCAAAAGGTAGTGTTGGCGCTGAAAAATGAGACATAAAGCTATGTGCAAATGTCTGGCGGTGCCCGGTAGGGGAAGGAGCACTGAATTTTTCATGCAATTGAACACCAAAAAACTCAACCCCTGCTTTCATCCGGAAAGTTCACGATGACCGGAAGCCATCACGTTCACACATCCCAAACTTCTAAACGGTCAAAAATATAAATCCACGACTTACTTCCAGTAAGCATTACCAGCAAGCTTCCTAGTAACCTACTTCGGAACCTAAGAATGCCCGACAACAAAATTACGGTAAATTTGCGCTCCTTTGTAAGTGCCGTCAAGTCAACAGCGCATATAGAAACTGTTTTTAAGACTTAATACAAAGCAACTCAACTGGAATGACCATCGTTTGAACCCTTATCCTTCGGATCAACGAAGGAACTCGACTCGTAACACAAAAGCACATTAAGATTGAACCTCCGCCTCGCTGCTACGTGCTGTGCCCAACGTCCGTTTCACTCTGGGGTCGCTGGGTACGATCGTTTATTCCCCCGCAGGTCGGAGGGGGGAGACAGAGGGGATAGGAAGATATGAGATGGGGGGGGGGGGGGGGGAGAGAGAGAGAGAGAGAGAGAGGAAGAAAATACGTGGATTTCGCGGGGTCTACATTTCGCCATCGACAAGAAATCAATATCAAACCGCCCAACAGGGAGGGGGAATGTATCGCCAATGAAACGGTCTTGGGCAGTGCAATTCAGTCGGGTCAAGAACCCATTGCGATTTCCGTCAACAGACACTAGTTGTTCTCCTCCCTTTGCGAGGGAAGGTCATGGCTTCATGATGATGCATTCCTTCTCCATAGTGTCCATGGGAGGCCGACTCTCTTCCTGGGAGGCCTGGAAGACGCACTCCACGACCCCCCCATATGTGTTTTTACATTCTTTATGTATCCGCGCCTAAACCTGCGTTTAGAAGAAACACTTGAATATTGGTCCATGACACACTTTCGGATGGAGAGGCTTGTCCATTTCCGTGAAGAATCCGTCTATGCCCACTTTGAAGTAAATCATGCTTTTGGACCTACGGATTGTCCGCAGAGGTTTGTTTTATTTATCTGTAACTCAAGATCTCATCATAACCGAACGGAGTTGTAATCGCATGGCAGACAAATTGCAAATGTCACATGGTTCAAGTGACATGAATGAGGAAAGCAGTTTCGAGTTTTCGGTCTATGGGCAATAAGTAAAATGACCTGCAATGTAAAACCAAACAGATTCAAGCATATTTTCAACATTTTACTTCACTGTTAAAGGTTTGGGGTTTAACCATTTCACCCGGAAGGCAGTAGCGAAATAATTCCTTTCCAAGAAAGGAATTACCCATTCCCAGCACCTGCTCCAGCTTGTACATTCCTTTATTCCATCATGTTTCCACCATGATGACTGATATTCATATTCTACCTAACAAGCCTCCATGACTCCACTTGTAACTCGAATGCTTCTTGAAAAAAAAAAAACTTTAATAAGATTGAGTACTTTCTTCCTTAGTACCTATATATTCCACCAACCATTTAAAATCCATCTTGAATCATTTCTAACTTTTGATCATTTTCAAGTATTCAATATGCAAAAGCAAAACTTGGTGGCTATGTAGTCCACATGCAAGTTCAAATCAATTATTCAGAGCTCTCAAGTATTTTCTAAATTCCTAGAATAGGAGGATGACTTATAAGCCCATGAAAATCCTTAAAAACATTTTCATCACTCTAAGAAGAGAACATGGGGTTTAGCATCACACAGCACAACATTTTCATTATATTTATTTGATGAGACTATTGTTTCTGTTGATACATGCTAGAAAACTTTCTTCCTAAACTGCAACATGTGGAATTTAGGAGTTCCCTAGAAAAAGGGCACAAGTGCCCATGCACTTTCTCCATATCCATGTCTACACCCTGCTTCGTGTAACTTGTCAGAGGATAGGGTTATCAGCAGGTATATAAGAACTGTATCCACCAAAGGAAAATTTTTCCTATGCTTTCATTATATGGCAAGCCAACTGCCTGACAATTTTAATATGGCTGCCTCCATGAATATTCCATTAGCTCCTGCATTACTGAATGATTCTGGTGAAATAATTCCATTCTTTTGAACTGAAAGTGAGAATGAGGAAGAAACCAGACAGGAGGAAAGGGGAAAAAGGAGGCCCAGTCATCCAAGTCTCTGGAAAGGTTTGAGAAGCTGGTGATATCCATGAAACAGTTGCAGCTTTAGATGAATGAATTAACCCTTATCCGGGCAAGGGGAGTCCATTGGACTCCCCAGGGTATATTTCATTTCATTACTGCAAATTTTTTAAAATATTCTTCAAATTTGATATGGGTTTCATAGACAGTCATCCATAGATTCAGAAACGAACTTTTAAAGTTTGGATTTGCTTTTAANATATGGGTTTCATAGACAGTCATCCATAGATTCAGAAACGAACTTTTAAAGTTTGGATTTGCTTTTAAGGAAAAAAATTCTAAAAATGTTTGGCCTTGCCCGTTTGTGTCACAAAAATACCTTGCCCAGATAAGGGTTAATAATGGATCACTGATGAGAAATTAGTGGATGAAACTTTTCCTGAATATTCACATTTTTATTGCCAATCTTTGAGGAAGAGTTGACTTGAAATCTGTGGAAGTATTAATTAGTAAATTATGATTTCTAACTGGAAAGAGATGGTGAAAGACTGTCTGGGAAAACTCCAGAAAATTTTTTTACATGGATATGGAAAAAGGATGCATGTGCATAAACACTTTCTGCCCGCATCCCAGCAATGTGAGAAAAAGAAACTCATTGAAATCCCAGGTTCAATTGGAAAAAGATCTAAGATATCATTTGAAAACTGAATTTTGACCAGCTGCAGGGTTCTGCCATTTATCTCAAATTGTTTCTTTTGCACATAGGCCTTTTTTCAAGAGAAATCCTCAATTGCAAGATCCAGTAGTCTTCTAATGGGATGGTGCCCCAGCTCATTATGCTACCATTGTCAGGAATTGGAGCAATGAAATTTCAAGATGGGTAGATTTAGAGAAGAGGAAATTAGTGGGTTCCACATTCCCCTGCCCTATCTCCACTCGGCTTTTTCCATAGGAGCTACATAAAAATTAATGTGAACATTTCAAAATCCTGAGATATTGCTAATCTGAATAACAAAATTTGTATCCAATCTGTAGATATATCTATAAGGACACAGACAGCATACCAGGAAAAAAAAGAGAGAAGGTAGAAATGGAAAAAACATGCTAATACATAAATTCTTTGAATTTTTATTCTGAATGTTTATTTGGGAGGGTTTTTTTTCAAAATGTTTAGAATAGCATTATTTTGGTACTTTTTTGAATATACAATATTATTTTGGACACAGGACTTCAAGTGAATAAAGAACTTCATTTGTGTGTTATTCAATGCTTCAAGTAACTGCCTGAGTTTACTTTTATATATTGAACTTAAAAGTTTGTTAGCTCTTTAGGCAAACAAACTTGAAATGGTTGCACCTTTGGCACTCAACAAAAGAAAATGTGATTCGAAACAACAGTTTTCAATGCTCAAACCCACATATGTGGTATAATGGAATTTCCCTTTCTTAGATTCCCACTCAAAAGGCCCCCAGGGGATATATCAAAAGTAAAATGTTTCCTAAATGATCAGGCCAACAAATACTTCTGTACCAAGTTCCTATTTTATTCCTATTATAAAGTCAACCTATTTTGGAGAATGATGGGTCAGTTGGGTTAGAAAAGGGAAAAGCCTTTGGTTGCAATTATTTTCTAATCCAACTGACCCATCATTCTCCAAAATAGGTTGACTTTCTCACTCTTTTGGCCCAACATAGAAGGAAAGCAGCTCCCTTGGTATGTGTTTATAGTTAGTTCTAAGTGGTGCACTAGGGTTTAGGGAAAACTCAAAAAAGCTGGTGAAACGTTAGTCTGAGTCTCTAGCTCTGAAGTGATTACAGAATTGATTAAATTATAAAATCTTATGGGTGGAAGGGACAGAGGTCATACAGGATGGGGCTAGAATGGAGGCAAGGACAGAGAGTATGCTATGCTCTGTTCCTATCATTTAAAATGGTGCTCTTGTAGCAGTGCAAGTATTCCCAGTCATACATTTAACGGTTATGTACAGTTATCTCGGGAAATACTAACCATAAGCAAATTCTGGTAATGTTTTGTGGGAATCCATGAACAACTCTTTCATGTGTGTTATGATTCAATTGAAAAGTAAGCAGTTGTATTGACCTGCAAAATGGCACCTTAACCACCATATTCCTTTAGTATTGGGACAAAAGAGTGAGAAAGCAAACACATCACAGCCTTGGGCTGAAACCATTTTCTAACCCAACTGATCCATTCCTTCAAAGTACAATGACATTCTCACTGCTTGGCCTATGACAGTGTGTAAAAATACAGGGTGGCCATAAAATCTGGAAACATAGGATCACATTTAGGATATATTATGATAATGAACAAATAAACTAAAATAAATGTTCTTCTGTTAAATCAATACAGATTTGAACATGACATTTTGAAGTGTTGCTGAACCAGATTAAGTAAATTGGCATTTCCATTTATAGCATGAATTTATCTTAATATATCCTATGTTTCCAGACTTTGTGGCCACCCTGCATATGCATACCACTGCCACTCATCCACTGCTGTGCCTTCTCCAGACATATACTTAGTGCTTTTCTTTTAGTCTTATTCATCAGTACCAATAAACAATTGTTTTGGACATGAAAATTCCTGAAGTTAAGCCCAGCCTGATCAACTTTCCAGCATTAGCCTGTCATAGAGAAACTTGCCTAGGTCTACAATTGGCTTTGGCCAAAACAAATTCCCATAACATAATGCAATTTCATGCAAAAAAGGTCAATTTATCTGAACTGACAGTTCAGGTCTGTATCAGCTACAATATAAAATCAGCTGCTGTCCTAACGTTGGGTCCTGAACAATAGTCAACCTCAATGCCAGGTCAACATGCTTAGGTCCGGCCTAGTCAAAGTAGCATGAATAGCCCAGGCCTACCAAACTGATCACCACTTTTACAAACACTTCCAACGCCTGACTAACCAACGACACCACTCATGAATGGGTATTGGAGTAAAGAGAAATCTCCTCAGTGAGAACTGTTGAACCCAAATATCAACATGACTGATTGACACTCAATGAAGGACCCAACGGAGCTCGATGATAGAAAAGTAGAGGTAGGGTACCGGGTAAGCACCCGGTTTCCGGCCAGTCTTCAGTTGTTGGCCAGTGAGGCTTAAATCCAGCATAATTTGTTAATCTGGCCGTTTTCAATCATTCTACCAACATCTTCCCGTACGAGGACCTACTACTAGTGTTTCCCGGTTTGCGTACAGTGTGTCCACTTACTATGGGAGTCGTTATCAGCGTGGCCATAAATTACCCTATGCCTGTGTAAGGCAGAACGAACGTTACATTAACGTTAACGTTAACGTTAAACTATGATAGGCCTCCCAAAGCGTATAACATGAAGGCTAAAATCACCTTCTTGGAAGAACCTGCTTGGATGTCACTCATTGAAGGACGACGTAATGGAGTTTGATGGCGGGGAGGTGAAGATGTAAGGAGGATGGAGATTCCCAAGGACTAGAGAACGAGGATCGCACAAGGCCGACTAGGGTCTACGCAGAGGCCGTTCCCTCCCTCTGCGTGAGATCGAAGCCAATCCCTGTCGCCCGTCTCCCCCGCCCTCCACGTAGACCTAGCCAGCTGCGAGCAGTGCTACGTCCTATTTCGTGGCCAGGGAGCTGCCCGAGTATCCTACGCCACGGCGTCTAGTGAGGGCTCTAACCAGATGGTGCTCCCTCTCAAGGCTGCCGAGAGAATGTCCATGTTAACGAGCCGCTCCGCAACTCTTTGGACCCCTAGTGAATTTCGATCTCTATATTACTTCCTCCTTATTTCAACAGGTGTCACTACCAAACGACGCAATTCTGCAGTCTATAATGCGTGCACAAAACTTGCGCAGTGATTTGGCGGAGAGTTATAATAAGGGCACTGCTATTACTAGTGTTTCAACTCTAGGGATATATCTACAGAATAGCCAGTTCACGTAACTTCTACGACCTGAAGAAACGCTAATTGTATTTGCTTTGGGAAACCCATAAAAAGCAAAGGTTTTGAGTTTACGGGTGTTAAAGTGAAGTTAACACTGTACTACATGAGTCATTCCATCTACAATTCACTGAATCACCCTCTTCTATTCGGCTCCCGATTTTTCTTCTTGATAGGTATTTATAATATGAGTCGCTTCGCCTTTCCCCCCCCCCCCCCCCAAAGTTTTCATTACATTCAATATAAACAGTAGATTTATTTCAATTTTGGGGGCCGAGGCTTGCTTTGCCAAAAGTGGGGTTCATTGGAACACTCATTTCTAGAAAATTTACAAAAGTATCACTTTGATTAGTCTCATTTCAAACAAAAGACCAAGGATATTCGGAATATTGCCTAATACCAGAAATACAGTGATGCCAATAATTAAAATCGTCTCCATGAAAATGAAAATTTTTTGGCAAAAGTGACATTTTTTCATCAGCCATTATGAGTGTCTGCTTGCTGAAATCGCAGTAATTCCCGTATAACTGGTAACATTCTTCCCATCTCTCCCTGATATTTTCAGATTTGTATTAATTTTATTAGTCGACTGAAGGAACCGCACTCCTAAAAAGGGGGAAATTATTTCATATCATATTATAAATGGGTGTCTGATTTGAAAACAAACGAGTCAGAGCAGGGAACCAATTTTCGATCAGAAGCATTTGAAAGTGCATCTAAGGGAAAGTCATTGGTAATTTTTTTCGTGATATTTGGATCAAGCATATCAGAATAATGGCAAGACGCTTTGGTCGATTCCGCAATTTTCAAAGCACGATGCTACCAGTCTGTCTGAGAATAATGGTCAAAATATAACTTTAGGTAGAGGTGGGAAGCTTGCTGCCAGTAATACGGAAATTACTGCGAATTCAATAGCAGATATTACAATGACTAGCAATGACTAACGAAAAATTGGAGCTTTTTGCATAAAATTTACCATTTTTAGGGAGTTCATCGCTGGCATAAATGTATTTCGGGTGTATAGCAACGTCCAGAAATTTCCATGGTCTCCTTTTTGAAATGAGACCGCAAGCTTAGCAAATTTTGCAAATATGAGACTTTTAAGGATCCTGACGTTCGACAAATTAAGCCCGCCTCAAAATTAAAATTTCGGTCAACCGTAGTTTCAGACTAGTTCACAGAGTCCCCGTTAACTGGGAATAAGCTACATACAGGGTGTTAAGAAAGTTGTGTCCCACTGCAGTTTGCCAATAACCTCAGCAAAAATTAAAAAATCAGGAAATTTATTAAATACACAATAACAAGGACAGTTAACTGATTTAGAATCACTTAATAGTTTTAAATATAGCCGCCCTTGGCACGGATGACAAGGTTCAGACCACCCATGAAAGCATTGACTGATTTTCGCCAGACTTCCTGTGGAATTCGCTCCGATTCTTGGTTCAGGGATAGCTTGAGAGAATCCAAAGAACAGTGCTTTGTAGCACACACTTTGCTCTCCAAGATGGACCAAATTGGAAAATTTAGGGTGTTCACATTGGGGTAGTAAGGGGGCCATTGTGAAATCGAAATGAAGTCAGGGACATTCGTCCACAGTCACTCCTGGGTCATCCGTGCCTTGTGAGCTGGCCCTGAGTCCTGCTGGAGTCCTCCATCGAAATATTTTGAGGCTCACAGAACCAGGCAGTCTTCCAGGATGCTTTTCCGGTAAACATCAGCACTGACCTTCATCTTCTCAGGCTCGAAAACGAGCGGAGTGCGGTAATCCTGGCCCAGACCATTACAGAAGCTGCCCCTTGATGCTGAGTGGCTTTTAAAAAAAATCTGATTTAGATTTTTCAATTTGGTCCATCTTGGAGAGCAAAAAATAAGCTACAAAACGCCATTCTTTGGATTCTCTCAAGCTATCCCTGAACAGAGAATGGGGAGAGAATTTCACAGGAAGACTTGCGAAAATCAGTCGATGCTTTCATGGGTCATCTGAACCTTGTCATTTGCACCAAGGGTGGCTATATTGAAAACTATTAAGTGATTCTAAATCAGTTAGCTGTCCTTTTTGCTGTGTATAAGAAATTTCCTAATTTTCACATTTTTGCTGAGGTTTTAGGCATATTGTGATGGGACACAACTTTCTTAACACCCTGTAGTAATTGGGGAGGGGGGAATGTGTTTTCCCGAGATAATTTGCCCGCCTTACGTTGAAATCACGAATCGAATGTACCCGATGATCAGTTGCTTTGCAAATATCGGCAGGGTGTATGTGAAGTGACCCATGGCGTTCAAGGATGATCTTTGCAGTTGTGGAGGTTCAACAGCGGACTTTGCTGCGCAATATTGTCCCCTTAGGCATGGGCACATTCCCCCACTTACCCTTAATACCTAATCTGTATCCGCGAGTCGAGTGCTCTTGAAAGCGTCGCTTCCCGGCTGATTCGTAAAACGTTATCATGCACTTTATTCACTTGACTTGCGATTGCTTTCGTAAACATATTGGGTCAATCCGGGAAATTACGAAACGAGCACTGACGCAGCCAGTTTCCTGAAGGTTGGGGGACGGGAAACAAAAAACTTTATTCTCTTCCTCTTGAATACCAGTGATGAAATTGGGAAAATGCATGGACATGCCCTCTGCCACTATCCGCTAGGAATTAATTATTTCCTGCTTGGGAGTCTAGCCAAGGGCGCCCACAAGGGGGCGGGAGGGAGGAGGGTTGAGTGGAGTTGACGTCGCAGGAGACGTAACAAGAAGATATATAATAGGCTGGCAGAGTCAAATCCTATAGTAAAGTGGTGCACAATCTTTTCCCCATAAAGGGTCAAATTTCGGCTCATGTTCGAAGGCTGCAGATACCATCAAATGCGGCCCTACTGATGTGCGTAAGGTACCGTCACGCTGAAAATAGCGCGTCTCACTCACCCCTCGCACGTTGCAACAATTTTTAATGTCCGCGTCTACTCAGAACCTCTGAGTCTGCGTCTACTCAGAACCTTTTTTTTTTAACTGTAGGCTGAAAGTGGGAAAGTAAGGAACAGATAAGCTCCAGCCAATGACAATGCAAATAGCTTTGGATTGTAGGTGATTTTCACTAAGGTAGAGTTCATTCTCATTCCGTGCAGGATGCTGGATGCTGCAGCCGCATACTGTACTGAAAATCCAATCCAGCATGTCCAACTGTTGGACTGTAATCCTATAATGCATCAGGAAATAAGCTCTACAGCAGCTGGATGCCGCATGTTGTCAGGCAAAATATTCGTGCCGTACAACATGTGGAATTGAATAGAATCCATCCCTACACATGCAGCATACAAGCAGCAGGTGCAACGTACAGTTCTGCAGTCCGTAAACGACCCGCTGCTGTGCACTGCTTCGAGTGTCTAATATGCTGTGCATCGCAGTAGAGCACGAGAATGAACTCGGTCTACGGCGTAGAATTCAGACACCGTAGCCCACGAATAGTAACATTAACTACACTGGTGGACAAAATTAAGGTAGCAGTCACAAAAACCAGAATAACGTCTTTATTCTGTGAGTTATATCAATGAAAATCTGTACAGAGATACAATTTATCATTACCGATAAGCGTATAAAAAAAGGAGGAACTTTGGACTGGTAATAACAGAGTCATGATAATTACATCATGGAACGAAAAGTTACATGTTCCAACAGACACGCTCAGAAGAAGACAATAGCCGCCGTCCTTTTATAGGCTTCACTAATTTGCATGTTGTAACGCTCGTAAATCAATTTCGATTGGATATTCGGAATTTGCATGTAAAAGTAGGTATAGTAACGTATTTTCACATTCTAACTTACTATTGTAATTAAAATATTGACGAAAAATGGTGTTACCTTAATTTTGTCCACCAGTGTATATGGCAAATCACCCCAGACAGTCAGGGAGCTTGAACCCCCTCGCCCCCCCCCCCCCCCCTTCTTGAAAACAGGATTGGATGGAGAAAATATTAAACAGGATAGGGAGGAAATAGAAAGGGCTTTGACATAAAATGACCTTGCTTGCTAACCCCTTATGGAGTGCTTCCCAAGATGATCCTCCCTGTCGCCACCCACACCTTCACTGCCCAGCCTGGGGTGAGTACCCCAGAAACTCACCTGCCATCCATTCTCCGGACTCTGCGAGCGGCCCTGAGTCTAGCCCAGGAACTCCCACGAAGTCGAAAGCCCGGACTAGGAAGAGCGCACAAGCGTAACAGACTGGCACTGCTTTCACAGAAGGGATCCTCCACAACTGGATGCTCCACGGATCTAACTTCACCCTGCGTTGCACCGGGTAAATTCAATGACGCTGGATTGATTTATCCTCTTTGGGGATATGGATCCCACCCAGAGGCGACTGTAAACACGCCCTGACAAGGAGAACATGGCGATGCCACTGCAACAGATGACCTTGGCCTTCACAGACTGCAGAAAACGATGACTCAGGAAGCGCATAGCACACAAATTATTATTATCAGTGTCAACTAGACCAATCACAAATACAACTTTTATTTCGGAAAATGAGTAGAGTGAGTTGAAATTCAGATAATAATTAATTTACTTACTGAAGATCGTTTCGGAGAAAGAGGGCACGCTAATAGAACTTGGTTGTAGGATGACAAGCTCAATGTTCGTGGATGTTTCTTGGATTTAATCATGATGATTGAGCAATATATATGCATTGGTGTCGAGTATTATGCGAGTGTGCATTAAGAGCGTATATGCTGATCAACTTACGGTGATCAGCACAATTTAAGATGTGACACGAAGCGCTAATAATGGAAAAGCCGAGACTTTAAATACTGAAAGGAGAATTTGCAGGGTGTACGCATTTTCAGGCAGGCAACGGTGTGGATGATACGTTTTCGTAGCACAAAATATGCGGGACACATTTCCAGCTGTGATTAGTTCCCAGACGAGAACCCCATATGACAGTTATGCAGCAAGCAGGCA